TGGAGCACTTGACACCCAGGCCAACATGGCCATTGTAATCCCCGATGGCAACAAAGGCCTTGAACCTGGTCTGCTGGCCGGCTCGGGTCTGCTTCTGCACAGGCATGATCTTTAGGACCTCGTCCTTGAGAGCCATCCCCAGGAAGAAGCCAATGATCTCAGACTCCTTGATGGGCAGGGAGAACAGATAGATCTCCTCCAGGGACTTGATCTTCATGTCCTTGACCAGACGACCCAGCTTGGTGACAGGGCTACTGCGCCACCAGGGCTTAGATGCCTTGGTTTGGGCATCTGTAAAATGGGAGAGTAACATTGACCTGAGTGTCTCTGGCCTCTGTGAGCTCAAACACCCACAATGCCAGGCCAGAGGGGCTCGTGGGTGGCAATGAGCAAGCTCACTCTACTTACTGTTTGACTCACTAACAACGGTCAAAAGTTTTGAAAAAGGGTGAAAGTGAGAAAAACCTTGACGTGACATTCTTGAATGGGTGACCTTTGCCACACAGATGTTTCCTCCCACGGTTATAAAAATAGTCAGAAAAAAATAAAAATAAAATGCCGGGTGGGACATCCCACGTACTTGGCCTAATAACATGTGCTGTGCTTCTGTTCTGCCTCCTCCGTCCGTCCGTCCATCACTGGGTGGTGCCTGGGGTCTTAAGCGCCTGCCAGTGGCCATGCAAGATGACAACTGGTCTCTAACTCGCTGGAGCAAGAGCAGAAGGTGGGTGCAAAGAGGAAATGGAGCGTGTGGCTAAGGCCCCTTCTGTGATGAGACCGGAACTGGATGGTGCCCAGCTCTCTTTCCCCAGCTTTTGGGTTCAAAATTCCATAGATGAATCCTAATCAGAAGGAGGAAAATGCAGGGCATCATTTACAATGTTCAAGCAGTCTACACATTTTTGAGTCATGGAGGTAGGATGAACCCCTGAAACTACTGCCCTCAGATCATCGGTAAACCTTAAGCCCCCAAGTCCCCTTAAGCCTTCCTAAAACCAAGCAATAGTCTAGCTTAGTTTTTGTTTTTTAAGTGTATCTTTATCATAGGCTCTTTTAGAGCCATATGGGATCAAATTAATGACAGCAATGTGAGAGCTTCGATAAGGCCCTTGGGGGCAGTGAGTCTGAGTTAGTGGGGAAGGGGTAACTCCAAATAGGAGGGTGACAATAGCCACACAACTTGAAGAATGTCACCAGTGTTGCCGAATGGTACGTGTAGAAGCTGTTACCCTGGTGTATGTTTTGTGTGTATATTTTCAACAACAACAATTCAAAAGACAAGTTTCTACTCATTTCTTCAGCCCTCAGGAAGCCTCTCTAACAGTGAAGTTGCACTGGGAGTGAACATGCTGGGAGGAAGGGGGCCCAAAGGCAAGGAGGAGACAGCTAAGAAAAAATAAAGGGCAATTTGCCCTCACTCACTCACAACTGGGTACTAGCTCCTCACTGGCCAAAACATGGCCCTGGGAGCTACAGCATCATGGGGTCTCTGGGGGCCCCACTCCAACCCTCAGAACCAACATGGTAATTAGACCCCCAAGGGAACAGTTACACATTGTCTGGGGGATGGGCAGCAGAGGGGTGGGTGAAGGGAGACGCTGGGCAGTGTAATATATGATACAATAATAATTTATAAATTATCAAGGGT